AAAAAAAAAAAAAAAAAAAAAAAAAAAAAAAAAAAAAAAAAAAAAAAATTTTTTTTTAAAAAAAAAAAAAAAAAAAATTATAAAATGAAACAAAATATTAAAATGATTAATTACAAACTAATATATAAATTTGAATGCAACAAAAATTGATAGATAAACTTAATCTCAATGGAAATTGCGAGAAACTAGATGTACATTTTTTTTTTTAAACCTTAACCATTGAAATCCAAAAGGTTGGCATCATATAGAAAGGTGTCATAGCATATAGGTCTCAGAAAAAAATAAAAATAAAAAAATAACAAGACCAAAAAAAAAATTAAATTAAATTAAAATTAAAAATGATTGAAAGTGCAGCAGCAAACAGAATCTCCTATTACATATTTAACATAAATAGAAACCTAGGCTGTTTGGTTTTTATATTGAAATTAATACTTCTGTTGTTGCAACTTGGAGAAGCTATAATGCCATTTATATGATTGTGAAAATTGAAAGATTTAACATTATAATGGGACATGTGAAAAATACATAAATTAATAATTATATTTTGATTTTTATATGAATGCTTACATCCTCTTTGATGGATTGCTTCAAAATATTATCTTAATTATCACTTTCCTCCATTGTTTGATTGATCAAACTTTCTTCTAGGGTTTATGATTTCAAAATAATAAAAAACAATGATGTTAATAATAATGGTGAGTTTTGGTAAGGTGGATTGGCGTTTTGGAGTGCGAAAGAAGAAACAGAAGAAGACAAACTAATTTTGATCACTTGGGGAAGAAGATGCAGAGATTTGACTAGGAATAATGGATTGGGGTGTACCATGAGAAGAAAAAAAATTAATTTTAGGGTTTAATATAGATTGTCCTTATTAGTAAATTCACATTAGAATATAATAATAATTAAAACTTATAAATTTAAATTGGGTGTACTAAGTTATTTTTTGGGTTCAAATAAAATGCCCCTAAGTAGACCCAATAAATATCAAACCTCCAACAAGCCCAGACTAGAATCTTGGGTTAATTTCATTTTATACCTAAACTACATCACTTTTTCTATTCATTTTTAAACTAATAATTAAATCTATCTAGGTTTTAAATTTTTTTATTTCAGTTCTTATAGTCGAATTGAAGATGATTATATATATCAGTAAATGTTAAAACCTAATTTGATAGTGGAAAAGGTGATTTCAAAATTTGAACAATTCATCCATAATTACAACAAATTAATGTTTGAGAGAAAAAAAAAATTAGAAGAAAAAAATATATTTTCAGGACTAATTTTTTTTTTTTACAAAAAAAAATGTCATTATTATATTTTTTACGATAAAACTAAAAAAAAAAATGAACACTCTTTATCTGCTTTTAAAAATGAAATTAATCTTAACAAATAGGAAATGATCGTTTAAACAAAAGTCCAGCAATTATTCTCTTTCTTTCTTTTACTACTGATTTTGAAATAAATCTCAGTGTATGAACACTTTTTGTCTATTTTTTTACTTTTTAAAATCTGTGTGAATAAGTAAAAAATAGAGACAGACAATTTCCATCAACCAACCCACATGTCGGGTCGAGAGACCCATTCCCACCACCATATTGCAATTTTATGAAAAGACTTTCCACAGAGTCTTATATTTTTTAAAATTCTTTTATTATTAATTTCAAATCCAATGTGATGCACATTGAAACATCAAAAGACACCTTTCACTTTCTTCCTTTGTGGACGGAATAGCTTTCTACTTCTCCCAATAACTTTCATGTTCTACCGGATTGTTGCTCTTTTTTTTTTCTTTTTCTTTCTTTTTTTTTCTCCTTTCGTTTTCATTTTTTTTGGGTCAATTTTTTTCCAGCTTAACTTTCCTATTTTTTAAATTAAAAAAAAATGTAAATACACAAATTTGTTCTCATTTTCATAATTTGAAAGTGGACAGATAGACATGTATAACTATCTATCATCCAAATTTTTAATGTAAAAGTAATTTAAAAGTACAAAAATAGACATATTTGTCTCTATTTACAATATGCAAGTTATTTATGTCATTTGTGAGTTTAATTATCACAAATGGCATAACTCAATACTATGAGAATCATAATTAAAGAAAAAAAAATTAAATTATAGCTAAACATCACATGATGTATATAACCAAACAACTCTTGAACCATAACCAAAATAATGACATTACCAACATCACAATGTGTCATAAGTAACAACACAATAGATCATAACTAAAGACACAAAAATTATAACCAAAGGTGCATATATATTTGTCCCTAGCACAACAAAAAAATTCACTTATAGCAGCGGCCAAAACTGCCTCTAAAAACAGGAAAAAGATCGCTAAAAACTAGAATACCTTTATCTACGATTGAAATAGCGGCGGCCAAACCACCGCAATAGCCCCATTGGCATAGCCTTATAGTGACGTTTTTGACAAACGCCAGTATAATTATTTTTATTGTGGCAGTTGATGTAGCAATGGTTATAAATGTCGCTATATCTTAAATTTAACCACTACTTGATGACTTTATAGCGATGGGTTGATTGCTGCTATATCCTTCGTTTTTGCGACGTGTTGTGAACCACTGCTATATTTTGACTCTATTCCATCAGTTTTACAATGTCGCTATAGCCATAGATTTTTTTTTTCTAAATTTTATTTGCAGTGACAGTTATTAATTGCGGTTATAAGGTATGTTTACTATTCAATTACCAATAATATATAGTTTGAAATTTTCAATGGTTTGTTAACCATTAATTGTTGTCTCTCACTTATCCCTACTCACATTATATATCTATAAAAGTACTATTTTATTCTAATGGCTCAATTCTCAATAGGGATCGCAATTTGAACCGGCCCGATGGGGATCCGATCTCCCAACCCCGATTAGAATGGGTTTTCTCTGAAAATTATCCCCCATAGAGCCAGGGATGGTATTGAAAATTGAATCCCCAACGGTTTTCGGGCCAGGGACGGGGATAGGTTCTCCCGGCCCCGGCCCCGGCCCTGCCCCGAATAATTCCCTAAATATTCTCCATATATATATATGTGTGTGTGTGTGTGTGTGTGTGTGTGAGTCTGTGTCTCTCTCACTCACATTCATTTCTTTCAACCTCTCTCTCTCTCTCTCTCTCTCTCTCTCTCTCTCTTTGCGCAGCTGTTCCTCATGGCGTCGGCGTCCGCGTCCACGGCGGCTCCTCCGTTGTCCTCCTCTTTCTCCTCCCATCACTGCTGATCTCCCTCCTCCTCCACTGTCTTCGACGAGAGAGAGCTATTAGGGTTTCCGATCTCGCTGATCTCCCTCTTCAAGAACATCATAGCGCTTTCCCTCCGCGGCCGGACTTCGACGCCTTTCCCTTAACTGCCGTCAACGTCGTTGTCTCCGATCATTGAGCTAACGGCCTCGCCATCAACACCATCTCTCTGATTTCTCTTTTTGAGTTGTACTTCTTAGATCATACCATCTCTCTTATGTTGTTGATGATTTTGTTGATCTGTTGTGTAAGTTATTGATGATATGTTGTTAATGTATGATGTTGTTGATCTATTTTTGAGTTGATATGTTGTTGATGATTTTGTTAATTTGCTGTATTACTAGGTGTTTTTTTTTGGACCTGGAAATTTTCAAGGTCGCGGAAATTCGATTCCCATTAGGAGGCTAGGATGGTGATAGGTTCTCCGTCGGGGATTGGGGCTGAAGACGGGAGAATTTTCACCATCGGGGATCGAGGACGGGGAGTGTGATCCCCGACCCCGCCCCAGCCTGTTGCCATCCTAATTCTTAATAATTGTAAAAAGTAAAAGAGTTTGCATTTTCATAATCCCAAAATATCCAAAACACCTTAATTAAAGGATTCATTACATAAGCTTGTCATACCAAAATAGATCAAATATTTCTAGCAAACTAATAGCCACACCATCATCCAAAAGGTACATATAAACTTGTCACATGACAATAGTACTCAAAAGTATTACTCATGATGCCATTTTGTAAAGACCTCCGTGAAAAATGTTCAAATCGAGAAATGACGTCCATTGTTTGATGCTTCCATATTGTCTTATTTCCTGCAATAAAAATGATTGAATGAGCATAAGTATTATTTTCAATTTTAAAATCTATAAAGAAAAATAAGACTACAAATAATTCTCGACAAGCCTTATTATTTTGGTAAGTATGTGGTTTATATATCGAAAAATAAAGATTACAATGAAGTTGAAGATCGTATTTGCATATTATTTTTTATCAGCCAAATAGAGAACTCTTTATTAATGATAAAGGAAAAATAGAAGAACCGACAAGGAAGAGCGAGATTGCATCATAGCGAACCTAACTCATCCCAACCAGGTTGGCACAAGGAAAATTGCAAAATCATGTGCAAGCTCAACCAAGAGAAACAAAAAATGTTGGCAAGAGATACCAACCACAACAAGAGGAAGGAAATAAAAAAATATAAAGAAATTACACACAAATGAAATAGGCCCATATATACCAGGTTCACTCTAAACACACCAAACCCAACAACACCTAAGCTTCCATAAAGCATCACGAAAGCCAAACAAACAAAGGTAGCAAAGAAACCCACCCCATACCAGCAGAAAAAAGAAGAAAAAAAAATTCGGCATTATGATAAAGCCCACCCGTCTTTGTTATCTTCCTTTGTTTTCTGTTTCTTTTAAACTCGGCAAAAAAAATTCTGCATGAGTTCTTGGTATTGTTCTTTAAGCACTGCAAGTTGATATCTAAGATTAGATATGCCTGAAGACATCTAAAGGGCTTAGAACATGTAAGCAAGCAACCAAGGCATGCATAATCCAGCGAAAGATCGTTTGGGAATACTGACAAAAATTAAACATATTCTGCAAATCCATTGTGAACCAAGATAATGTGACAAACAACTGTTTCAGGTAATCAAAAACCAAGCTACAGAAAATATGCAAAAAGTGAAGATAAATCAATATTTGTTAGTGTGAGTTATGAAAAATCATAAGGAATACCAATAAAAAAGATGTGAGTTTACCCATGACTACGTACATGTGTATGTATTAACCAAAAACATTTTGCAATTTATTGAACCAAGCATATTTTATTTACATCTTATATGTATAAATAAGCAAAGATACATGTATTTTTCTTTTATTCAGATCTTTTAGTTGTCTTGGTCAAATAGGATTGTACAATTTGTGACAGTGATCCAAGCCTTCTCTGCCCAAAGAGAGACTTCTTTTATTTCATTAAAACAAAAAAACTATGAAGTCAACTTCACTACAGAGGCTTCACGCATTATGGGCGTGTTCCATCAGTTCAGAAGCCTAGGCCTTCAAATTCAATTCTTATTGGTTTCAAATTTCATGAAGTTTAAGTTTTGGAAACAAAAAGTATAAGCCATCCAACTTCTTTACAAAAACAAACAGTATTCCCAAATTGTAAAATGATGGAGGGAATGCGAACAAATATATGTATAGATAAGATAAATCACTTGAGGGAATCCAAACAAATATATACCAGGTTCACTCTAAACACAGCAAACCCAACAACACCTAAGCTTCCATAAAGCATCACAAAGGCCAAACAAACAAAGGTAGCAAAGAATATAGGAACCCACAGCCCATTATATGATCTAAACTCCATGGTTAAATATAAGTATTACATAATAGATAAGAAAAATCTCCAGTATAATATACTATTTTTCGGATTTGTCCCTATGATTTTGAAGGTTTGGTTGTTGGTGATTTGAGATTGGTTTCAATGATATGAAGATATGTATTGGGGAATTTGCTTTATGGTTGCTAAACTAGTTAAAAGGGTGAAATGTTTCAAAGGTTTTATGTTGTAAATATTCTTCAATTATGTCTTTAGATTCAACAAAAAAACGGTGTACGTAAATATTGAATTTCCTCTAATCACATTATTAAGCCAACAAAACATTACAAACTGTACATTAAATTCATGGACAACAATTTTTTGAACAAAAATAAATAAATAAATAAAAATAAAAATAAAAATAGAAAAACAGAACAAACCAATAAAGAAAAAGGTAGGCACTATTATTCCATTGTGGCATTTTATCAAATACCTAGCATACATAATAGACAGAGATGACCCACCTCTAGCCCTACTCAAACCCAACAAAATGCAAAACAAATCAAAAGCTAAGTTTCAAAAAAAAAAAAAAAAATTTAAAAGCATTGTAACTGTATTACCAATTCCATAGACTTTTTCGTCAGTTTTACTCAGTAATAGTATTTGGTAGTTGGGTGAGTAGACTTCGTTCATCACAAGCAAACAATATATATGGACTGAATGTAATGTTGTTTGATACTAGTATTTTTATTTTCATCTCTGTCTATTAGATTTCTTAGCAGTGATATATTCTTATTTAAACACTTTTGCTTTAAATTTCAACCTACAAATCCATGAAAATCTGTGGGTTATTGCTTATTTTCATTTTTTTAAAAATACTTTTCAGAAAATTCTACTCTCTTATTTTTCGTATTTTTTTGTTTTTACTGATTTTTTTTAATATTTTAAACATTTTTTTTTACTTTTTAGACACACCTAACATAAATACACCTAAAAAGTAAAAAATTGTAAAAAAAAACTTTTAAAAATTCACTAAATACCAAAAATACAAAAAAAAAAAATACAAGAATTCAGTACATTTTTTATATTTTTATGTATTTATTAATTTTTTAAAATATTTTTTCATAAATTTTTTACTTTTGAGATACATCTAAGTAAGGTGCATCTAAAAAAGTAAAAAAAATGTTTAAATTTTAAAAATGTTCACTAAAAACAAAAAACACGAAAATCAAAAAACTTAGGCTCTGTTTGGTTGTGCTCTGAAATCAATTTTCTACCCGTGAAAAAGTTAGGGATAAATCTGTCATTTTAAATTTAAACATCATTTCAACACAGTTTCCAATACAACTACTCAACTAAAAATTCATCTCATCTTCCCAAACACAAAACTAAAATAATCTACTAAAATAGCCAAATAGCCAAATAGCCTACTAAAATAGCCACTTCCCAAACGAAGCCATAATAGACAGAGATGACCCACCTCTAGCCCTACTCAAACCCAACAAAATGCAAAACAAATCAAAAGCTAAGTTTCAAAAAAAAAAAAAAAATTTAAAAGCATTGTAACTGTATTACCAATTCCATAGACTTTGTCGTCAGTTTTACTCACTAATAGTATTTGGTAGTTGGGTGAGTATAAAGTTAGACTTCGTTCATCACAAGCAAACAATATATATGGACTGAATGTAATGTTGTTTGATACTAGTATTTTTATTTTCATCTCTCTCTATTAGATTTCTTAGCAGTGATATATTCTTATTTAAACACTTTTGCTTTAAATTTCAACCCACAAATCCATGAAAATCTGTGGGTTATTGCTTGTTTTCATTTTTTAAAAAATACTTTTCAGAAAATTCTACTCTCTTATTTTCCGTATTTTTTTTGTTTTTACTGATTTTTTTTTAACATTTTAAACATTTTTTTTACTTTTTAGACACACCTAACATAAATACACCTAAAAAGTAAAAAATTGTAAAAAAAACCTTTTAAAAATTCACTAAATACCAAAAATACAAAAAAAATACAAGAATTCAGTACATTTTTTGTATTTTTATTATTTATTAATTTTTTAAAATATTTTTTCACAAATTTTTTATTTATTAGATACATCTAAGTAAGGTGCATCTAAAAAAGTAAAAAAAAATGTTTAAATTTTAAAAATGTTCACTAAAAACAAAAAAACACGAAAATCAAAAAATTTAATTTTTAAAAACTTAATCCAGAAAACTCAAACCAAACACACTGATTAATTTTGAAATTTTGTTTTGTTTGTTTGTATTGTAAACAAGGCCACAACATTACCCAATGAATATCATAGATGATCATATATTAGAAGCAATGAATGGAAACAGAGACTAGAAGAAAAGAGAGGGGTAGAGAGAGAAACTGAGAGACCAGAAGCAAGAGTGGGGTAGAGAAAGAGAAACAAAGAGATCAGACTGACCTTCAAATCACAGTGGTGTTGTAGCTTGAACTATATCAGACTGACCTAAACTACATCACTTTTTCTATTCATTTTCAAACTATTCATCTATCTAGTTTTAAAATTTTTGTATTTCAGTTGTTGTAGTCCAATTGAAAATGATTATATAAATCAGTAATTGTTAAAACTTAATTTGATGGTGGAAAATGTGATTTCAAAATTTGAACAATTCATTCGTAATTACAACAAATTAATGTTTGAGAGAAAAGTTGGAAGAAAAAATATATTTTCAGGACCAATTTTTTTGTTGCAAAAAATGTCATTATTATATTTCTTACAATAAAATTGAAAAAAAAAAGGGAACACTCTTTATTTGTTTTTAAAAATGAAATTAATCTTAACAAATAGAAAATGATCATTTAAGTAAAAGTCTAGCAGTTATTCTCTTTTTGTTTATTATTGATTTTGAAATAGGTCTCACAATAGTGTATGAACACTCTTTGTCTGCTTTTTTACTTTTTAAAGTCTGTGTTAATAAGTAGAAAATGGGGACAAACAATTTCCATCAATCAACTCACACGTTCGGTCGAGAGACTCATTCCCACCACCATATTGCAAATTTATGAAAAGACTTTCTACAAAGTCTTACATTTTTTAAATTCTTTTATTATTAATTTCAAATCCAATGTGCTGCACATTGAAACATCAAAAGACACACCTTTCACTTTGTTCCTTTGTGGATGGGATAACTTTCTACTTCTCTCAGTAACTTTCATGTTCTACCATATCATTGCTCTTTTTCTCCCCCCTCCCCCTTTTTTTCCTTTCGTTGTCAAATTTTTTTTTTTTTTGGTCAATTTTTTTCTAGCTTAACTTTCCTATTTTTTAAATTAAAAAAATAAGTACACAAATTTGTTATCATTTTTATAATTTGAAAGTGGACAGATAGGCACATATAACTATCTATCCATAATATAAAAGTAATTTAAAAGTACAAAAAATAGACATATTTGTCTCCATTTACAATATACAAGTTATTTATGTCATTTGTGAGTTTAATTATTACAAATGGTATAACTCAATACTATGAGAATTATAATTGAAAAAATTAAATTAAATTATAGCAAACATCACATGGGGCATGTAACCAAACAACACTTGAATCATAACTAATAAAACAAGGGTTAGCTCTCCAACTGGTCTACAAGGACATTTGATGCATTCATTGTCTTCGGAAGTTTTGACGTTTTGTTTCATATTTAGCTCAAATTTTAGTACTTGTAATTTTAATTGATGTTCTTTTTAATGTTATATATTACACTTAGTAAAATAAAATATAATTTAAAAGTCTCAACCTTCTATTTATTTAATTTTTTTTTATGAGTTTTAGCTAAAAAAATAAAATAAAATTTATAAGTCCTATTTAGTATTACTATTACTTAGTAAAAATATTAAAAAAGACAAAATAATCTTTTAAACATTTATCTTTTTTTAATATTCTAATTAAATATAAGATTTAATACGATAAGTCGTCCAAACAAACATGCAACATCACCCAAGAGTTAACTTTAGTAATTTCAACATCACCCAAGAGTTAACTTTAGTAATTTCCCAGAATGGGGGATAGCCCTTGTTAGTCAATTTTAATATTATTGAAGACTTGAAGTTAATATCACTTAAGAGTTACACTCAAGACTCTTGAAAAGACTTTTATTAAAGTTAGTGACAAATCAAAAGCATGTGGGGTCGGTTTTTAAATACAACAATGATAGAGATCACTAATTTTGGAGCTCTAAAAAGACCACTAATGACATGGCACTCAATAAAAAAATAAAAAAAAATATAACACCAAGGCCAAAACATCAAATCATTCCTGGTGGGGCCCACTGCCACATCATTAATGATAGCACTAATTAGTGCTCTCACTTATTTTCCTTTTAAATATTGAAATACTCATGTCACAAAGATTTTAGTTTTTGATACTTTTAATTAAATTCCAATTTTTTTATAACTCAGTCATGCATTTCTTTTTCCACATAACTGAATTTTGTTTACAAGAATCCCTCCAAACTTTTCAACAATCCAAATTTTTCAACATACAAAGACTTGTAATTATGGTCACTAAAGATTCTTATTTGGCCCAATCAAAAAAATATATTAAAAATAAATTTCTTAGTTTTTTTCTTCTTCTTCTTGAAGTTAAAAAATAAAAAATCTAAGAAATCAATTTGATAATATTTTTATAATAATAATAGTGTTGTTTAGTACAATTTATTATAAATTAAAAACTAGAACTTTAAAAATAGAACTCAAAAGCAACCGTCATCCAACTTTTAGAAATTAAACTTTTTTCAATTTATTTAAATTATTTCTTTCTAATAAATTATAAGTAAAAGTTGTACCAAATATAAGCAGAAGATGTACTAAACAGTCTGACACATATAGTCTTCTAGAATAAAAAAAACTATAAGCAGCTCAGATAGGATGCACCTAATAAGTAAAAAAGAAATTAACCAAAAGCATCTTGAGGGGAAAAAAATTCACCTTAAAGTCAAAAAAATAAAAATAAAAACAATAACAACAATAACAAAACATTTACCAAACCTCATCAATTTGTAACCATTCAAAGCTTGTAGTCCAATTTAATAAAAGTGTAATACGAGTTCTATTTAATTTTATCGTTATGATGTGAGATTACTAAAGACTTAATTAAGCCTTATAGTAGACTTCTAAATTAATTTTACTGAAAAATCAAACTTATAGAAAACATAATTTTATGGTTATCCAATGAAGATTATTAAAGTTTAACTTAAAACTTATAGATAGTATCACGGAAGACTCCTAAGTTTTATTAATAAAAGGGAAAATTATAGCGATAGTTCCTGTAATTTACCTTTTTTTCATTTTGGTCCTTATTGTTTTAATTTGATCAATTTTGACCCTTAATTTTACGAATTGTGTCATATTAGTCCAATAAATAACGGCAGTTAAGTTTGATGGACGGATAATCATATGATGTTTCAATTTAGTCCCTATAATTTACAGGATATGTCAATTTGGTCTGTATTGTTTTGACTTCTTTATAAACTACAAGGACCAAATTGAAACAACTTTTGATTTTTCGTCCATCAAACTTAACCGCCGTTATTTATTGGACTAATATGACACAATCCGTGAAATTAAGGGGCAAAATTGATCAAATTGAAACAACGGGGACCAAAACGAAAAAATAGGTAAACTATAGGGACTATTTGCATAATTTGCCCTTGTTAAAATCAAGTTAGTAATATTACTCAACGATTGACCAAAAAAAAAATCTAATTTGTGAAGCTTCCAATTAAATTCCAATAAATTTCCACTAATTTGTGAAATGAAATCTAGATCAATACAAACAACATTCGAGGACCAAATCATCCACTAAATATGAGATGAAATTTCAAAGAACCAAGCGTTAGTTGAAAATTACAGGAATAATACAGTGACAAAAGCTTTCAATTTTTCTTTCAATTGCTTTACAATTATTAATTTACGATTTGAATTTCCTCAAGTTAGTCATCTAACTTAATAGAATAATTCGGGTTTGGTGCATCCGTTTTAAGATTGATCTTGATAATATATTCAAACCGCTCACTTTTTAAAATTCATTGAATGCAAAATTCATTACAGTGATTGCACATCAATAGCTATATATTTGAATAATATTTACATTACAAAAAAATTGATGATTATTCTTGAAATTATATTTGTCGTCCATTTTTTTAAGACAAATATGATTCAAATATATAACTATTAACTGCCAAGGTCTGATGATTTTGATTTTTTATATGAATATTTTCTCAATAAGTTTTAAAAGTTAACAGTTTAAATTACCGAGGTTAACCCCAGAAAGAAAAGCTTATTAAGCGCAACTACTCTCTCGCCAACTTGAGAGAATCCAACCTGGTTAATTTATTTATTATATTGATTGAGAGGAGAGGATTTGCAGCAATGAACATCTTGTAAGAAACTTTCTTCTTCAACTATATTTCCACTAATTTGTGAAATGAAATCTAGATCAATACAAACAATATTCGAGGACTAAATCATCCACTAAATATGAGATGAAATTTCAAAGAACCAAGCGTTAGTTGAAAATTACAGGACTAATACAGTGACAAAAGCTTTCAATTTTTCTTTCGATTGCTTTACAATTATTAATTTACGATTTGAATTTCCTCAAGTTAGTCATCTAACTAAATAGAATAATTCGGGTTTGGTGCATCCGTTTTGAGATTGATCTTGATAATATATTCAAACCGCTCACTTTTTAAGATTTATTGAATGCAAAATTCATTACAATGATTGCACATCAATAGCTATATGTTTAAATAATATTTACATTACAAAAAAATTGATGATTATTCTTGAAATTATATTTGTCGTCCATTTTTTTAAGACAAATGGATTCAAATATATAACCATTAACTGCCAAGGTCTGATGATTTTGATTTTTTATATGAATATTTACTCAATAAGTTTTAAAAGTTAACAGTTTAAATTACCGAGGTTAACCCCAAAACGAGCTCATTAAGCGCAACTACTCTCTCGCCAACTTGAGAGAATCCAACCCGGTTAATTTATTTATTATATTGATTGAGAGGAGAGGATTTGCACCAATGAACATCTTGTAAGAATCTTTCTTCTTCAATTCTCCCAGTACACATTTTTCCATCCCTTTCAAAATTTTAAAAAGTTATCACAAAGAATAATATTATATATATATATATATATATGTGTGTAATTTTTATTGAAAAAATTCATACGAAATGATATGTCATTTTTTAGTCCTTTGTTTCAAGCAAAAAACACCTAATGGTAATTTATAATTGCAAAAATATCATATTATATTATTTATTAGTTTTATTTATAAAAATTATGTTTTTGAATCATTTTCTGTTTTTAATAATATAGCTAAAGCTTATATTGTTTATTATTTTTTGTTTGAAGAAGGCTCGATCCGTTAAGAAATCTGATCGAGAATATCATTTTGTGAATGTGTTATTATGGGTAACAATATTTAATCTATTAATTTTAAAAAAATAAAAAAACCCTATGAAAATTAAATGGAAAATGAGGAATCACTCATGATGAGTAAGAATGATTTACTAGGACTTGAAATATCTAAACCCCTCAATAGTAGATTAAATTATTAATTATTTTATATACATTAGATTATTTCTTCATTTCACAATTTTTTAAAATAAAAATAATTTTATAAGCCTTTTCTTACTATTAATCTAATCCTGCCTTTCATCCTTAAAAATAAACAAGACATTATATATGTTAATCAAACAAGGCCGTAGTTATTTATTTTACTCTATGATGTTAGTAGTGTGCGTATATTGATATAATTAGGACAATCTAATAATTCCAAGTCTATAGTACTGGCTTTGGATCATTTTTTGTACACATCTTCTGTACCATTTATGATTTCAAGATTGACGACATGGTAGCTTGAGATGAACGGGACAGAAGATGGGTACAGGAAATCCAAAGCCCATAGTGCTGAAGAATCAAGATGAGTTTTTATTAGTCAAGCTTGCTATTGACATAAAGCACCAAATAAGAACAGTATTGTAGGTCCTTTATTTAGGCATTGTTTGGAAAATGGCCAAATCATTTATTAGAAAAAAAAAATTATTTTAAAATCATGTTTGATTATGAATTTAAATAGTAATTTGAAAAAGAAAACGTAAATGTGATAACGTGGATAAAAAATTTAGCTTATATTTTATTTATATTTCTCTTATATTTTATTTTCTCTTTTCAAATTCCTTTACCAATTCATGATTTAAACACAATTTTATTCATAATACAATGATGATTACATTTATTTACCGAAAATTATATATCACCTCATATGTTAGCATTATATTATTACTATTAGTAATAAAAATGAGCAAGTGTTGGGACTCATTACTTCAATAATGCTATGCTGAATACTGATTACATGTACTTACTAAAAGTAATTTATTATCTTATGTATTATCTTTATATTAGTAATAAAATTGACCGAGTGATGGAATCCATTAAACTAATACAATGATAATATGTGAAACTATACAATGACAATTTTCAGTTTATATTTTTTTATTATTGAATTATTAATAAGTTATAAAAAGGAGAGTGCATATAGAAGAAGCATTATATCCAATTCCCTCTCTATCACCCAATACTGGTGTAAGAATGGGTTTCTTACTATCCAATTATCAACTCACAATATGTATCCTGTATTTCCTAATTTTCTGCTTGTCTTCTTCTACACATCTTTGCCATAATGACGAGAGCACGGCTTTGCTCCAATTTAAGCAATCATTTTCCTTCAATTGCTCTGCTTGCAATTTCGACGTGGGTGCTCCATTCGCTGATAATTGGAAAGAGGGTACAGATTGTTGTGCATGGGACAGGGTCACATGTGATAACACCACTTCTCATGTTGTTGGCCTCGACCTCAGTTCTAACTGCCTATATGGTACCATCCATCCAAACAGCAGCCTCTTCAATCTTGTTCACCTTCAACACCTCGACCTTTCTCACAACAACTTCAATCACTCTCAAATTTTACCTTCATTTGGCCGTTTCACAAATTTGACCCATCTTTACCTCATTTATTCCCATCTTTCTGGCCCAATACAATCATCAAAAGATGAAGTCTGGCAAGGGAATAACTTCTCCAATAGCATTTTCCACTTACAGAAATTGCAGGTGCTGTGGTTAGGCGGTAACATAGAACTCATAGGAGAGCTACCTAATTCCATCGGCCAACTTGAGTACTTGGAGGAGCTATTCCTCAGTTTTTGCAATATCTTCGGTACCATTCCGACATTGCTTGGAAACCTCAAGAAACTAAGGGGTTGTTTGGGGTGTCCTAAATAAGTGCACTTTTTGTCTTTTTGTACTAAAAAGTTGAGGGAAAAAATATGGATGTTTGGGTTAACTTTTTGACTTTTTATGAAAAAAATGTGTAATAAAAAATTATAAAAATTGGTTTGTAGGACAAAGAAAATAAAAAATATATATTTTTAAATCATGTTTGGTTATGAATTTAAATATTAATTTGAAAAAGAAAATGAAAATGTGATAACGTGGATAAAAAATTTAGCTTATATTTTATTTATATTTCTCTTATATTTTATTTTCTCTTTTCAAATTCCTTTACCAATTCATGATTTAAACACAATTTTATTCTTAATACAATGATAATTACATTTATTTACCAAAAATTATATATCACCTCATATGTTAGCATTATATTATTACTATTAGTAATAAAAATGAGCAAGTGTTGGGACTCATTACTTCAATAAGGGTATGCTGAATACTAATTACATGTACTTACTAAAAGTAATTTATTATCTTATGTATTATCTTTATATTAGTAATAAAATTGACCGAGTGATGGAATCCATTAAACTAATACAATGATAATATGTGAAACTATACAATGACAATTTTCAGTTTATATTTTTTTATTATTGAATTATTAATAAGTTATAAAAAGGAGAGTGCATATAGAAGAAGCATTATATCCAATTCCCTCTCTACCACCCAATACTGGTGTAAGAATGGGTTTCTTACTATCCAATTATCAACTCACAATATGTATCCTGTATTTCCTAATTTTCTGCTTGTCTTCTTCTACACATCTTTGCCATAATGACGAGAGCACTGCTTTGCTCCAATTTAAGCAATCCTTTTCCTTCAATTACTCTGCTTGCAATTTCGACGTGGGTGCTCCATTCGCTGATAATTGGAAAGAGGGTACAGATTGTTGTGCATGGGACGGGGTCACATGTGATAACACCACTTCTCATGTTATTGGCCTCGACGTCAGTTCTAACTGCCTATATGGCACCATCCATCCAAACAACAGCCTTTTCAATCTTGTTCACCTTCAACACCTCGACCTTTCTCACAACAACTTCAATCACTCTCAAATTTTACCTTCATTTGGCCGTTTCACAAATTTGACCCATCTTTACCTCATTTATTCCCATCTTTCTGGCCCAATACAATCATCAAAATCAGAAGTCTGGCAAGGGAATAACTTCTCCAATAGCATTTTCCACTAACAGAAATTGCAGGTGCTGTGGTTAGGCGGTAACATAGAACTCACAGGAGAGCTACCTAATTCCATCGGCCAACTTGAGTACTTGGAGGAGCTATTCCTCAGTTTTTGCAATATCTTTGGTACCATTCCGACATCGCTTGGAAACCTCAAGAAACTAAGAATGCTAGATCTTGGATGGACTTACTTGATCAATGGTCAATTGCCATCTTCAATCGGCCATCTTAAAAACTTGGAGGAGCTATACCTCCATGATTGCAATTTCTCTGGTATGATTCCGAGATCGCTTACAAACCTCACGCGATTAATTTGGCTTGATCTTTCATGCAACAATTTTGAAGGCCCAATTCCTCAAATTTTTTCCAACTTCTCGCAACTTCAATATATAGATTTCTCAAACAATCAACTAACAGGTCCCATTTCATCACCAATAACTGGCCTTCCAAATCTACAGTATCTAGATTTAAGCCATAACTCAATTAATGGGACAATACCTTCTTCCTTGTTTCATCTTCTGAACCTTACCTATCTTGATCTTTCGTCAAATAATTTAAGCGACACTGTTGAGCTGGACACGTTTGCAAAGCTTGAATATTTGAATTCTTTGGATCTTTCAAACAGTGGTCTATCATTGACCACCACCAACTCCACTCCTTCCTCTTTCCTAAACATTAGGACATTATGATTGTTGTCTTGCAACATAAGTAAAATTCCTAAATTTCTGAAAACCCGAAACGAGTTGGACACGCTAGACCTTTCAAACAACCACCTAAATGAAGAACTCAACCCACTCTGCAATCTTCATTCTCTTATATATCTCGATCTGTCCAATAACCAATTTGGCGGATTAATCCCTACCTGTTTGGGGAACTTTAGTGGAACATTAACCGTATTAAATTTGCAGAGTAACAATTTCCATGGTACCATCACTCAAACATTTGGATACGCAAGCATGTTACAGGAACTTGACATTAGCCACAATAGATTGCGAGGGTCGCTTCCAAGATCATTGACGAATTGCACGAACCTAGAAATGTTGAATCTGGGTCATAATTTCATAGAAGATGCTTTTCCATTTTGGTTAGAGAACCTGCCCCAATTAAAGATTATTGTCTTGCGAGATAATAAATTCCATGGTCCCATAGAGCAACCAAGGAAGAGATTAGCCTTCACCAATTTACATATCATTGACATGTCTCACAATGAATTTACTGGTACTTTGCCATCAAAATACTTTGAGGGCATGCATTCAATGATGATGGATGATGAAGACAAATCAGTCTTAAATTATATGGGCAATGGTCGTGGTGATTATTATTCAGTAACCATAATGAATAAAGGACTGGAAATGGAACTCGTAAAGATCATCACCATCTTCAAAGTTGTTGATTTCTTGCACAACAAGTTTCATGGAAATATACCAATATCCGTTGGAAGACTTAAAGCCCTCTATGTCTTAAATTTTTCAGGTAATGGCCTCACAGGTCTCATTCCAGTGTCCTTGGGGGATCTAACTAAGCTTGAGTCCTTGGATCTATCCCAAAACAAACTCTCTGGAGAGATTCCTCAGCAACTGACTAAATTGACATTCCTTGAAGTTCTTAATTTCTCACAAAACAATCTAACGGGACTTATACCACGAGGTGGGCAATTTGAAACATTTTCAAACACTTCATATGAGGGAAGCGGGTTTCCATTGTCAAAGAATTGTGGGAGTGTCCAGATAGTAGAATCACCAACTTTACCATCCTCATTTAGCCACAATTTTAAGTTCAAATTTGACGGCTTTGGTTGGGAAGCTGTGTTGATGGGATTTGGGTGTGGAGGATTGCTTGGTTTGTTGATTGGAAGTTGCATTATTCAAAGGAAAGAAGAATGGCTTGTAAGGATTTTTGGTGTAAAAATGCGTCAACATAGGAAGATATCATAGAAGGTTCAAAAGAAGATAGCTTATACAAAGTCAATTATAAATTGTTTGTAGTAAATGTGTTATGTATTCTAATAAATTGGAGAAGTATTTGAAGGCTGCAATGCAAGGAAAAGCTATAGCGCAATTCCGTCACTGTGTCTTCTTTTAACAATGCAAGAATTGGTTTGTAATCCCCAATGAATGACAACATGTGGAAGAAACATGTGTAATTTTTCTGTTTCATAGAGATGCAACAATCTTATCCTATACGCTCTGACTCACGAATACAATATACTGTTATATATATGTGTGTGTGTGTGTGTGTATAGTGTATAAGAATATAAAATGGAAGTTAGTTTCTAATGCCAATAGGAAAAATTGCAACTTTAACTTTTTATTTTATTTTATTTTTTATTTTATCACAAGGCCACTCAAATTTCGTACAAAACAACTTAAGTCTTGTATTACTCAACCATTAAATTGTCATGGAACGCATTTGGAGTAAGGAGAAAATATGTTATCAAAAATGATCAGATTATGCCTTTATTGTGATCTTTGAAGTAGTACACTTCTTGATGATTTCTTTTGTTGATCAATAATTAATTTGTTGTTTTTGTTTTGCACCTCTCTTCACTAATAACCTTTTATGCTCCTTAGTTTCATCTGTAATTACTCATCAACTATGTTTTCAATTTGAATTATGATATGCATATCTAAGTTGTATTCATTTTCATTTTTCTTGCCTTTATTCTTGTTCTTTTCCTAAATGTTCACATTTTGGAACTTAGAAAGTGTTAAGAAGGTAGTTAATGTCATAAGTTAATAGTTACCTAATATTTTCCATTTTTTCTATCCTAGTGGGCATGCTATCTTCCTCTTTAACATTATCAGCCATTGTATAGTTTCATTAATTGTGGTAGTCCTTTGGCTGGCCAAGTCACTGATTAACTTTTTTTTAAGGTAAATCATATTGTTAGTCTATCTAGTAGGAGTAAAGTTTTGATTTGGTCCGCATAATTTCAATTTGAATTTTATATTTTTAATTTTGTTACATTCTAATCCTTCTATCACATACCGTTGAAATTTTATACGCAAAACTACCACATGCAACACACATGAGACTTTTAGCAATTTCAACACAAAAAAAGAAATTGAACAAACTATACCAATGGTCTCTATTGTTTCTTTTGAATTCCATTTACTCTCTTTAATTGTGCACAAGTTGTTTTTCCATCCAAAACGTAAAAGGAGCATGCCAAGCGGACAATATTGAAACAAAAAAAATGAAAGTATGGGATTCAAATGTTCAAATTGAGACTACGGGGATTACAGTGAAAATTAATTCGCTTAAACTATAGGAATTAATGGTATAATTTACCTTCTTTCTTTGTCCTTCTAGTTGAATTTTTTGAAATTTTATCAATTGATACTCTATATATTTAACTCTTTCAATTAGACTCTACCCTCACATAATACACACTTTAACACATCCATGAGAGCACCAATTTACTCTCTAAATTAATAAGCACTTAACACACAAATTTAACATCTATAAGAGAACTCCTATAGAACACAATAGTAGTAGACATGTTAGTAGTGTCTATTTCATATAGTCTATAGACCACAAATTTGACTCAGGCATCCCATAATAAGTACCTAAGAGTTACTCATATCGTGTCACATGTCTGTGATTTTTTGGTAGGAAAAGGTAGTGGTTGTATTGCTAGTGATTATCGTGATACTGATATGCCATGATAATTGTAACGCCCCAAATTTCTAGCCCAAATGATAATACAACAATCATATCTCTTTCAAAGAAAACCGAATATAAATCTCCAAACTTACATTACATGATACAATGGTTCTTCATGCAACAATACATTAATCCAACAACAAGTAAATAAACATACATTAATCCAACAACAAGTAAATAAACAAATAAATACCCCCAAGGGTTTACAAGTTTCCAAGGCTTGAGCCTGGTTATACAAAACGGCTATTCAAACCCACACAAACACAGCCCTTGGCTTACACACAGAGTCACAGCAAAATTAGAGTATTGTACTCCCAACACACATACTTCCATACCCCTAGTTGGGTGGCATCATCACATATTTTCCTGCACAAAAATCCCATAGGGTGAGCATAAAGCCCCGATAGGAAATTCTTAACAAAGTATATACATTTTATACAAGTCTCAAGATATGAAATGCACATGCCATGCTATGTCCTTTTTGAAGATAAATCACATTTTCATCTTTTGAAAACCATCATGCTCAATAATATCATGCAATTTCAATTGTTCAGAACTTAACAATTTATTTCAAGGGCGGTAAATATGACTCTGGTAATCCCTAGGTCGGTGTCTGCAAGTAGACTATACGCGTACTACCAAATTGTCATTTTTATCGGTATTAACCGGACGGCTCAACACCTATCCGTGCGGATCTTCGGTCTTTCAACCCGGACTCTCAGACCAACTTATTCAATATCATCTGCACCACCTATTAAGACTTACCAACATATTTACCCCAAAACCATTCCATGAAAACTTGTTTCTCAATATTCTTTTCTCAATGCAAGTTTTCAAATTAACTTTCAAAGTTTAATGTAATCAAATGAATTAATATGCCAATCTCACAAGATGAATATAAATACTTTTATTCAAATTCATCATCCAAGGAATAACACAATTCTCTCTTCTCAAGTATCCTCAACAATTAGTTATTTCAAGACTATTTCAACGTTTTGAACAAAAATTTCCAACATGAACAATAATCTTCATATTCCCTGAAATTCATTATATAAATATAAATAAGAAATTTTTCCAAACATCCATTTATTTTGACACACAAAATAAATATAACAATATCATTCATGGATTTTCAGTCTTCTAAAAAAAATTTCCAAATTCTAGGTTTTCTCACCAAAACTATACAACTCAAATCTTTTGAAAGAAAACTTTCCAAAATCATCTTTTCTTCAATCAACGAAGATCAAAACCCATAAGATCATTTTAAAAGAGTAAGAGACAAGCCCACTTTCAAAATCGCTCAACTTCTCGAATCAACAATCAATTTTCAAAGCTATCGAAAGATGATTTCGAAAATCATCTAGATCTTGCAAATATATATATATAACTCTAAAAAAATCTCTACCTCAAGTTTTAAAGAAGAAATGAGATGAAACCTTCAAAATCAACGGTGTCGAAATTCGATCTTCACCACACACAACGAAGCCCTCGAAAAGTTAACCAACTTTGATGAAGAACCTATGGCAGAACTCTAATGGATCTTGAGAAATCAAGGTTTTGATCCAATTTGGCATAGGGAAATGTAGAGAGAAGGAAGAGGAAAGGGTTTTTAGAGAGAGAGATATACAAAAGTGATTTGAAATATCAGATTCATGAACTGATATAACATGGTCCGCTCGAGCATCAAATACACTTTTCCAGTACTTTTGCAGACAGGTCAAACTTTTGGAACCAAACATTCTCCGCTCGAGCGGACAAGCAACTTTTAATGCATTTTACATTTTTGCTTCAGGGACGCTGCCCCTCAACCCCGCTAGGGCGCTACCCTAGGACCCGCCAAGGGGCGCTTCCCCCTGGACCCCCGCGAGCTGACCGGGCAGCTCGATCTCCGACATACTCGGCGAAGTGGCAAAACTAGGAGCACTACAACCTTCCCCTCTTAAAGAATTTCGTCCCCGAAATTTCAAATCAAACTACCCAAACAAAGGGTTTCTAGCGATCAAAACCACGCTATTTCATTTTCAAATCACAATACTAACTCTTAACCAAATTCCATCATTTCCACCATGGTTATCTCATTAACAACAACCTCCCAAATACGCATAAACATGAAATTTCCCAAAAAACAATGGCAACTCTCAACAACCTTATGCCTAAAACAACAATGCACATATCAATATGTGGTTAACAACTTTAAATACGTTTCCCTCAACACTAGTGAATATTACAAAGAAAAGAAACTTAAGCATTTTCAAACAAATCCGGATATTTGGAGAAGACTTCTGCCTCCCGTTCTCACGTCACTTCTTCAACCCCATGGTGTCTCCACAACACCTTTACCAATGGTATAGTTTTGCCCCGCAGAACTTGCTATCGGGTGTCTAATATTTGAACTGGTCATTCTTCGTAAGAGGCATCCTCATCTACCTCCAAGCAGCCCAATCAAGCACATGAGAAAGGTCGGGTTCATACTTCCTAAGCATAGTTACATGAAATACGTTATGAACTCCCGAAAGTTGTGGCGATAAAGCTAACTGGTATGCCACTTCCCCAATTCGCTCTAAGATCTCAAAAGCCCCAATGGACCTTGGAGACAATTTATCACTCTTACCAAATCTCATCAAACCCTGCCTTGGTGAGATTTTTAGAAACACATGGTCACCAACTTCAAAAGATAAAGGTCATCTCCTCTTATCAGCATAACTCTTTTGTCATCTTTGGGCCGCAGCTCACCTCTTCCGAATGAGAATAACTTTCTCGGTTGTCTCTCTAACAATTTTCGGACCCAGTAACGGTGCATCACCCACTTCGGCCCAATAAACCGGTGATCTACAAGGTCGGCCATACATGGCCTCAAATGGTGCCATCCCAATACTAGCTTGGTAACTATTGTTATAAGCAAACTCAATCAATGGTAAGTGCCTTTCCCAAGGCCCCTTAAAATCAAGGACACAAGCTCTAAGCGTGTCCTCCAAAATCTGAATGGTACGTTCCGATTGTCCATCGGTTTGAGGATGATAAGCGGTGCTAAGAGTCAACTTAGTTCCCAATGCTTCTTGAAGGTTTTGCCATAACCGGGCAGTAAAACGAGGATCCCTATCCGACACAATAGTCATAGGGACTCCATGAAGTCGAACTATCTCTCTAATGTACAACTCTGCCAAACGTTCAACTGAGTCGCTGGTGCACATCAGAATGAATTGGGTAGACTTAGTCAACCTATCAACAATCACCCAAACGACGTCATTGCCTCGTTGTGTTCTAGGAA